TACCAGGGACGAAACCCACTTGGTCTCTGTGGATCAGGCTACGCAAGTATTTATTGATATGAAAGCTAAGAATCTTGCCCAAGATCTTCAGGTGTTCATTAAGAAGAGAAATGGGCCGAAAGGCTTGCGGTTCCTGCATATCATCGGTCGTCTTAGGAATCATGGAAATATGAGCTCTAAGCGTGTCCGGAGAGGGCAATGAGCCGTCATAACTCATTAAAATAGTCATCCAAGAAGGGTGCTAACAGGATTGCAAATTTCTTATAATAGAGGCCGGAAAAGCCGTCTGGACCCGGGGCCGTGGTAGACCGTAGAGATTTAATAGCTTGGAGCACTTCCGGTACGGTGACTCCTTCTGCACTGCCTCAGATAGTCCAGGAAGTTGGAGGTCTTGAAAGAATGCCTCTGCCTGAGCCACGAGGAAGGGATCTGGTTTGGCGTAAAGGCGCGAAAGAAAGTCCGCGAAACGTGAGACAATCCGCTGGGGATTAGAAGTACAGCCACCCATGGGAAGTCGCAATCGGATCGGTTTATGGGGTTTCCCCACAGAATTGAGTTTCCTGGCCAGCATTGGACCAGGCTTATTAGCACAGGAATAAAATTTGTGTTTGGCCCAACGCAGGGCCCGTTCCACCTCTGAAGAGGCGAGTAGGTCCAACTCTGCCACCAGGGCGTCCCGGGCATGTTTATGGGCCGTTGGATGGGAATGACTTCCAACGAACATCCGCAGAGGCCAACAGAGAATGGAGATCCAAAAGTTGGCGCCCCCGTTCCCACTTTCGAACCGCCGCCAGCTGTATAACCTGACCCTGCACCGTGGCTTTGTGCACCTCCCACAGGGGTACTGCCGAAGAAACAGATCCTGAGTTTTCCGCGAAGTATGTGCGTAAGAAAGATTCTATGTGTTGGCAGGTGACCTGAGTGGTCAATAAAGAATCATTAATGCGCCAGTGAAAAGGGCACCGTACCGACCCAGAAAGGGCCAAGAGGAGTACCAGGGGATCATGGTCCAAACAGGGCGAGGAGGGAATAGCTATCCACCTGACCAAAGGAAGCTGCTGGACATACATGAATATATGGTCAATTCTACAAAAACTGTCATGAGGGTTGGAATAGAATGTAAAGTCGCACTCAGTTAGGTAAAGTACCCTCCAGACGTCTACCAGCCCCGCCGTCCACAAGAAAGAGCGCATACGTTCCCTCTAGCACCAAGTTGTGAGAAGGGGCCGCCCCCTGGGCATAGCGCCTATCCAATGTGGAATCCAAGATAACATTGGAATCTCCCAAAAGAAGAAGGAGACCCTTGGAGTGTCGGGAGACAATGGTGCATAGATGAGAAAAGAATTTATGTTGAAAGCGATTGGGTGCATAGTAAGAGACAAAGGTAACCTCCCGACCCAGAGGGTGTCCTGCAGAAGCAAGTACCTACCCGTGGGGTCCACTATATTCCGAGCACAGACAAAAGGAAGATTGCGCTTGAAAGCTATTAGTACACTCCGGTGTTTCTCAGGGGCCGAGGCCGTGTAAAAGGTGGGAAAGTGAGGCGAAAGATACCGTGGAGAGGAGGACTGAGAAAACCTGGTCTCCTGTAAACATACCACGTCAATTTGTTGCGATTTGAGGTGATGAAAAGCTTTAGCCTGCTTCTGAGGCGAATTGAAACCTTGAACATTTTGTGAGTATACTTTCAGAAGGGGTGAGGCCATGGCAGTATCAGCACAGCACGCAGAAAAAGCATAGGTCGGCCAACAGTTATCATTCCCAATGGCGTTTGGACCATGGCATCCCGAGACCCTGCAAGAGGATAAAACAAAAAAAAACAGAGGATTTTGTTTTTGGAAGTTCTTGTACAGCACTTGTAAATAGACTTGTAAATACCACCAATAAACATGGCATTGTTTGCCACCACTCCACTGGAATAGTATCTGTGCCTGGAAGTGTGCTCATCCCAGGGAGCTTTTTGTACCTGCTACCTATCCTCAGCTCACATATGTTGGAGGCCTGTGGGAACTTTTAGCAAGAAGGTACTACATACAGAGCCAGTACCTGGAGTGACTGAACATGAAGGAAATCCTTAAACAGTTGATGTTGTCTAACGCTGTACAGCAACAAGCAAATGCTGCACAACAGCAAACAAATGCTATCATGCAGGAACAAACATAGACGCTATCTTGACCACCCACCAGATGCGGAGATAGATAACAATTGACAGAGTGCACAGAACTCTAGGTGCTCAATCCACCTCATATGACAGACCTGGGGATGTTCTCTGCTGTCTACACTCCTACAACTTCATGGAAGAAATCCTACGGGGGGATTGTCATGTGGATGTCCTAGAATTTGATAGGGCAGCTGTCCACCTATTACCATATATTTCCAGAAGAACCCTGATGACTTAAACCACTTCTGGATGAGCTTGGTGAGAAAGGTATCACATATAAGTGGGGGCACCCATTTAATCTAATTGCCTGTAAAGGATCCGACACTTTCCCTCTCCAGCATCCATCAGAACTTCCGGACCAATTCACTTTTGCTGAAATGGACCTGATCCATGTGCCTAATTGGCTCACAGTGGCTGTCACACAGGACACGCATTGCCGGGCCCCCAAGGACAAGCCTCAAAGAAGCAGGATCAGCCTTCGCTCTCAGCGAGGTCCTTCACAAGCCAGTCCTTGATGGACCATTAATGGAGGAGTAAGCTGCTACTCAAGACTATCTGAGTGAAGCATACAGTTACCTGCTCCTTTACACCTGCGTGACTTGAGTTTATCTTGTGATGCTGGACTTCCTTTTTTCACTTCCATGGGCTGCGCTCAGACCATCACATGGCATCCCTGGGACACCTGGACTACCTTCCATGTCATCACGGGTATCCCTGTTATCGACACGGCAGACATTTCTTTGCCTGCCTGGAAAATCTTGCTATAGTTTACCTGTTTGCTATGTGGGAGGAGGAGGGGGGGACAGGCCAATGTGTTTATGTTGTTATCTTACCATTACTCTTCTTGTTTATACACTTTGTCTATCAATGGGTACATCTAGGTACCCAGGCCTTGGGATGGGATTGGATGGGAGAGACCACTGCCTTACGAGGGGCCACTTAACCTCGACTGGCTGCATGCATGCATATTCATAGCCCCCAAGTGCAGAACCTTACATTTATCAACATTAAACCTCATTTGCCATTGAGGTCAGCTTGCAAATTGAAGACATCCTGTAAGGACGTTAATCCACTGCACAGCTTGGTGTCATCTGCAAAGACTGAAATGGTATTTTTAATCCCAGACCCTGGGTCCTGCAGGAGTATTGACCAATGCTTCTTAATGGCCGTTTTGATTGCCCACTGTTGGTCATTGTATGTGGTAATAAAAAGAGTTTCAGCAGGCTTATGCAATTCGTTGCTATCTACATTGCTGTCTTTGTTATTAATCAAGCCATTTTAATATCTGTCCCTAGCCTTCATAGTCTGTTCTTTATCATAACCCTTGTCCAAGAATTTTTGGGTGAGTATCTCAGACTGTGTAATATAATCAGAGGTGCTGGAACAATTTCTATGCAACCCTTGGAATTGGCTACATGGGATGCTCTCCTTCCACTTGGGATGATGGCAACCATTATGATGTAAGTATGAGTTGCCCAGCAGTCTCCTTGGAATGGGTTTTAGATGTAATTTTACCCCCAGACAACTCAAGATCCAGAAATACCAGGGACTTGTCATTGACTACATGTGTAAACTCAATGCCGTAAGTATTGGCATTGCAGTATGACACAAAATTGATGACAGACTCCAAAGAGCCATCCAAGATAATCAGGACATCGTCAGTGTAGCACCCATAATAGATCAAATGCCTGGCAAAGGGGTTCTGAGACCATATGTTAAACTTCTCCCAGAACCCCATCAATAAATTGGCATAGCAAAGTGGGTTCCCATAGCTGTGCGAGAGATTTATCTATAAAATGAGCCATTGAACTGGAAGTAATACCTTTCCAGAGCAAATCTGGTGCATTGACAAATGAATTGGGACTGTTCAGGATTCATATAATCTGTTTCTGTTTCATTGAGCGTGCGCCGGCTGGCCCGGGCACTTGCGCGGTAGCAGCGGCAAGCTCTGTCAGGCTGTTCCAGGAATCAGAGGAGCCATTTAGATAGAAGCTGACAACATGAGTGATGCCATCAGTGCTGGGAAGAAAACTAGGAGTTTTTATCACATCAGAAGTGCTCTATTACCTTTGTATCATGTGCATACAATCAACTTTAAGTTTTTTAATCATAATTAAATGGAGTTACCCTAGGCGGTTATGGGATTTGTATTGGTGTTAAAAGTTACCTTCCATGCTTGCCAGCTTGGCTGTGACTTGGCTGGAGATTCCTCGATTCTACGAGAATTCATTTCATGCAGGGCATTCGCAAAACTATAGACTGCAGAGTATACCTCAAATGTATCTTGGAAACCATCACTCCCAAAGTTGAGCTGTTCCAACAAATAGAAAGCATGTGACCTATTGAATGAGCCATCCCACAATTTTATTGTTTCTAACCAAATGTTCTCCTGCATGGGTTGATCTGGGCTCTCCTGGGGTTTGGTGGACATCAGGAAATCTTTGAAGCCTGGAATCTTCACATTGTGCAAATATAGCAGCAAAGAACCATTCAGGTTTTGAAATAATAATAATATTTTATCTGGAAACTCATATGGAACAATGAAAGAAAAAATGAAAACTTTCCTCATTTTTCTTTCTTTTAATATGTTCTGTAACAATGTTTCCTCATTTACATTACCCATGATGATGACAATCTGACATTTTGATCGAATTATGAGGTTTCTATAGTATTGATATCGAAAGAAATATTTATATGCAATAATTAGAAACTCAGTGTAAATTCCATCCTGTGCCATGGCCTCCTGGAGCTCCATGCTGGACAATTTGCTGCTCTCATCTTCCAAAGATACAATTCCCACCCAAGTCCAACCAAAGTGCTTCAGTAGCTGAATGATGGCTCTGTACTGGCTTCTCTCACCAGGAAAAGTGTGATATAATGATGTGTCCTTTAATTTGTTCTTAAGAAAAGCATTTCGTGCGCCATAACTGATCTGCAGAAGTAACAGGAATTGAAACCAAGAAAAATAAGTTTAACCCAACTTCAACATGGTCCAATTTTCAGAAATCATTCAAGTCTGGAGCATACGTATAAGGGTTGCAGGGTCGCAATTGGGATCCAGCCCCATGCCCGTGTGGCCCCCTATACACCTAGATAGGAGGGAGGGCAGGGGTGGCATATAGAGGAACCGATGCCCTTTATTTTCCTCCAGCAGCCCTTCAGTGGCTACAGGAGGAAAATGGATGGGATCGGTTCCTCTATATGCCTCCCTACCACCCCTGCTACCAACCTCCTGCTGTGATCGGGCCCCTGTGTAACCCTCTGGCCACCCTCATCCCCCTCAGTGTTGCCAGGTTCCCCCCTCCCCTCTCCCCATGCTCTCAGGATGGAGATTGGGGAAAATGTAATTTACCGGCCTCTTCCTTGCATAATGAATAGAATCAGTGATTGGTATCATCTCTGACTCTGTTCATTCATAACTGAGGCATAGTAAACTGTGTTTACTATGTTTTGGTTTTTGAATGAACGTGGAGCTCTGTACAGAGTTATTCCTGTCCATTCATTCTGTGCAGCTAAGGCTGCAGAGATGGAGATTGATAGCTGTGTTCTCAATCTCTTTTCTCTGTCTTAAAGGTGGAACATAAGAGGTCTGTTTAGACCCCTGATATCTCACCAATGCCCCCCAACAGGACTCCTAATAAAATTTAAAAAATAAAATTGTAAATAAATAATATGGTAAAAAAAACTCTAAAAAACATTAAAATAACAAACAATAAAAAACTGCTGACATCAGTGGCAGAACTGATGTCAGCAGTTTTATCTCACCAGGGTCATAAAGGTCAAACTTGTGACTGAACCATGGCATTCTGCCACCATGAGGGGCCTATAGATGGCAAAAAGGGGGCCCACTGCAGAACCTGTGATATGCTGTGGGACCGTAATAAAAGTATAAAGTACAGGGTTCAGGGGTGCTCTATGTACAGGGTTCAAGAGTACACTATGTACAGAGTACAGGGTTCAGGAGTGCTCTGTGTACAGTGTGCAGGGTTCAGGAGTACTCTACGTACACAGTACTGAGTTCAAGAGTGCTCTATGCACAGAGTGTAGGTTTAAGGAGTGCTCTAAATACAGAGTACAGGGTTCAGAAGTGCTCTATGTATCCTGTACAGGGTTCAGTAGTGCTCTACATAGTGAGTGCAGGGTTCAAGAGTGCTCTAAATACTGAGTGCAGGGTTCAGGAGTGCTTTGCATACAGAGTACTGGGTTCAAGAGTGCTCTACTTACAGAATGCAGGGTTAAGGAGTGCTCTATGTACAGAGTACAGGGTTCAGGAGTGCTATGTACAGGGTTCAAGAGTACACTATGTACAGAGCACAAGGTTCAGGAGCGCTCTGAGTATAGTGTGCAGGGTTCATGGGTGCACTACGTACAGGGTGCAGAGTTTTAGAGTGTGCTACATACAAAATGCAGGATTCAAAAGTGCCCCATGTACAGAGTGCAGGGTTCAGGAGTGTGCTACATACAGAGTATAGTGTTTAGGAGTGGGTTATAGCATGCTGGGTTCAGCAGTGTGCTACGTTCAGAGTTCAGGGTTCCGGAATGCTTTAAGTACAGAGTGCAGGATTCAGGAGTGCACTACATACAGAGTGCAGTGTTCAGGAGTGAGCTACATACAGAATGCAAGGTTCAGGAATGAGCTATGTACAGAATGCAGGATTCAGAAGTGCTATATCTATAGAAAGCGGGGTTCAGGAGTGTGCTACATACATAGTGCACTTTTTGCAAAGTGGACTTCCATATACTGTACAATATTGCAGTGTTGCCTCCTTTCTGGTTTTGCTGATCCTCGTGTGGTGTGTGCCCCGCCCCCCAAGGGCCAGGGGGGCCTGTTTCTGGTCAGCCTCCTTCTCTGCTCCTGCTTTTGTGCCCTGGATTTATATTTGTGGGTTATGAGGTATGAATTACTACTTTTATATGAATTATTACAATAATGTTCTTTTTTTTTTTCCTTCCCTCTTCTCCTTCTATCCTGTGTTAACATTACAAACATCTTTTGTGTATATATATATATATATATATATATATATATATATATATATATACAGTGGGGATCGAACGTTTGGGCACCCCAGCTAAAAATTTTGTATTAATGTGCATAAAGAAGCCAAGGAAAGATGGAAAAATCTCCAAAAGGCATCAAATTACAGATTAGACATTCTTATAATATGTCAACAAAAGTTAGATTTTATTTCCATCATTTACACTTTCAAAATAACAGAAAACAAAAAAAATGGCGTCTGCAAAAGTTTGGGCCCCCTGCAGAGTTAATATCTTGTACTGCCCCCTTTGGCAAGTATCACAGCTTGTAAACGCTTTTTGTAGCCAGCCAAGAGTCTTTCAATTCTTGTTTGAGGTATCTTTGCCCATTCTTCCTTACAAAAGTCTTCCAGTTCTTTGAGAGTTCTGGGCTGTCTGTCACGCACTGCTCTTTTAAGGTCTATCCATAGATTTTCAATTATGTTGAGGTCAGGAGATTGTGAAGGCCATGGCAAAACCTTCAGTTTACGCCTCTTGATGTAATCCCCCGTGGATTTCGAGGTGTGTTTAGGATCATTATCCATTTGTAGAAGCCAGTCTCTCTTTAACTTCAGCTTTTTCACAGATGGCATCAAGTTACCATCCAAAATTTGCTGAAATTTTATTGAATCCATTTTTCCTTCTACTCGTGAGATGTTCCCTGTGCCACTGGCTGCAACACAACCCCAAAGCATGATTGATCCAACCCCATGCTTAACAGTTGGACAGAGGTTCTTCTCATTAAATTCTGTGCCCCTTCTTCTCCAAACGTACCTTTGCTCATTCCGGCCAAAAAGTTCAATTTTAACCTCATCGGTCCACAGAACTTGTTTCCAAAATGCATCAGGCTTGTCTATATGTTCATTTGCAAAGTTTAAACGGTGATTTTTGTGGTGAGGACGTAGAAGAGGTTTTCTTCTGATGACTCTTCCATGAAGACCATATTTATACAAGTATCTCTTTATAGTGGAATAGTGTACCACAACTCCAGTGTCTGCCAGATCTTTTCTGGAGGGATCGTGCAGTCAAACGTGGGTTTTGAATTGTTTTTCTCACAATCCTGTGAGCTGTTCTGTCTGATATTTTTCTTGGTCTTCCAGATCTTGCTTTAACTTCCACTGTTCCTGATGACTGCCATTTCTTAATTACATTCCGAACAGAGGATATTGATATTTGAAAATGCTTTGCTATCTTCTTATAGCCTTCTCCAGCTTTGTGAGCGTCAACTATTTTCAGTTTCAGTTTTCTAGACAACTGCTTAGAAGAACCCATGGTGCTGATTGTTGGAGCAAGGGCAGATGAGTCTGGGCATTTAAAACCTTTGAGATTGACATCACCTGGTCTTCCCAGACGATGATTGAGAACAATCCATGACACTGGCAGGTCTCAGCTTTGCAAAGGGGGCAGTGCATGCTATAAATTCTGCAGGGTGCCCAAACTTTTGCAGACGCCATTTTTTTTGTGTTCTGTTATTTTGAAAGTGTAAATGATGGAAATAAAATCTAACTTTTGTTGACATATTATAAGAATGTCTAATCTTTGTAATTTGATGCCTTTTGGAGATTTTTCCATCTTTCCTTGGCTTCTTTATGCACAAAAATACAAAGTTTTAGCTGGGGTGCCCAAACTTTCGATCCCCACTGTATATATATATGTGTGTGTGTGTGTATTTATTGCACTTTATTTAGTACTGTATACTATGATTTGTCCTTTTTTATTTTGCCCCAGGCTATAACAAAACATATGTGAGACCAAGAAAAGTCTTGAAGAAGAAGACGTCTAACTGTGAAATGCATAGACTTTGGTTCCTATTTTCGAATGTAATCAGTACTGTTCTCTAAGGTCATGTGATGAACCTCATTCTTTACTTGATGTTTTTATACTGACTTTGGTCTAACTTTTATAAAGGAATTTTTTAAATAAAAAATAACAAAAAATATGGTGTCTGTGAACTACCTCCGGAAATGTAGTTAAAGTCCCCTTTGTTTTGTCTGTGAAAGGGTTCAAAGGTGCACTACATCTAGAGTGAGCTAGTAGCGCACTCCTGAACTCTGCATAGTCCAGAAGTGCACTATTTAGAGAGTGCAGAGTTCAGGAGTGCACTACACACAAAGTGCAGATCTCACTGGATACTTCACATTCACAACCAAAACTGATACTGATTTTCAGGAAAAATACACAGGGTTTGCACATTTTCTGAGTGCAAAACTGTGAAGTGTTAATATTGAGTGGAGAAAACTGCTTTTGCAGATTTCTCTGGATTTTGATATTTCTGTATAGGGCGCTGTAGTTTGGAGACTTCAAAGCGCCTTGGGTGGGAAGAATTCTCCAACCCAGTGTCCAGGGTTTGTAGTCAACCAGCAGGGTGTGTGCCCAGGTGTGCACAGCCCTTATAACGTTGGTCTGCTCAGAGTTGCAGGAGAAATGGAGGGCAGTTGGGGCAGTGGCTGCCATTGAGGGATTCTCTGTGTGAGACAGACGCTGTGTGCATCCAAGAAGCTCGAGGGTGTGTGCATCCAAGAAGCTCGAGGCTCATCCAAGAAGCTCGGGGCTGTGTGCATCCAAGAAGCTTGGGGCTGTGTGCATCCAAGAAGCTGAAGGCTGTGTGCATCCAAGAAACTCGAGGCTGTGTGCATCCAAGAAACTCGAGGCTGTGTGCATCCAAGAAGCTCAAGGCTGTGTGCATCCAAGAAGCTCGAGGGTGTGTGCATCCAAGAAGCTCGGGGCTGTGTGCATCCAAGAAGCTCAGGGCTGTGTGCATCCAAGAAGCTCGAGGTTGTGTGCATCCAAGAAGCTCGGGGCTGTGTGCATCCAAGAAGCTCGGGGCTGTGTGTATCCAAGAAGCTCGAGGCTGTGTGCATCCAGGAAGCTCGAGGGTGTGTGCATCCAAGAAGCTCGGGGCTGTGTGCATCCAAG